TGCTCTGCGTTTAACCCATCCTAAGTGCACACACACAGCAGTGAACACACACACACCGTGAACACACACCCGGAGCAGTGGGCAGCCATTTATGCTGCGGCGCCCGGGGAGCAGTTGGGGGTTCGGTGCCTTGCTCAAGGGCACCTCAGTCGTGGTATTGAAGGAGGGAGAGAGCGCTGTACATTCACCTACAATCCCTGCCGGTACGAGACTCGAACCCACAACCTTTGGGTTACAGGTCCGACTCTCTAACCATTAGGCCACGACTTCACTTAGTCAGTATCATGCTATGACAGTCAAATCTAAATGCTCTTGCAGAAGAACAGTGTGTACGACTTACCCCTTCATCAGGGATCCCATCATTGTCATCATCATTGTCACAAGCATCTCCAGTTCCATCTTTGTCATAGTCTTCTTGACCAGAGTTGGGAAGGTCAGGACAGTTGTCCTAAAAATGACATGTTTTGATGAAGATTTTGTAACCTCATTGTATAATGGGATATGGTAAGGAAATGGTCACATACCTTCTTGCAGTGGTAGGTGGCGTTTTCCACACAGTGGAGGTCCGTGTTTGGCCAGCCGTCAAGGTCAGAGTCCTCTCCACAGATGTAACCATTTCCAGCATAGCCTGGTTTACATTCGCAGCGGTACATGATGTCAGAGAAGATGCCCAGGTAGATGCAGTTGGCATTCTTATTGCAGTCATGGCTGCCGTCCTCGCATGGGTTTCTAGGTATGCAGACCTGTGAATAGGTCGATTTAATGTTGGTTAGCACCTCATGGAAGGAGAAAGAACTGGTTCTTCCCATCGTTAACACTGTTCTTTAGACTAGTCTAACCTGTTTGTTGGCAATGGCCTGCTCCGTTCCCCTGCCGAAGGGCTGCTGTCCAGAGTAGCGTGGAGGGCAGGGCAGGCAGTTGTAGCCTGGTTCTGTGTTCACACACTGATGGACTCCATTGAGCACGAAACAGGCATCTGGAACTTCTTCACACTGCAGATACCAAAATTAAGAATTTTTAGAAACACCAGTGTCTTTGTTTACAAGTGTCTGTCTCATTGGCGTGACACCTCACCTCATCAATGTCTTGACAGTGGACTCCATCCCCAGTGTATCCAACCGGACACTCGCCGCATTTCCAGGAGCCATCGGGGAAGCTGGTGCATTTGGTGCCAGCAAAGCATGGGTTAGACAGGCATCCGTCTGTTCATGATAGTACGGAACTGTGTTATTTTGATATCCTGTGACAAGAATTTTCAGCTTGATTTCAGCTTTATGTCTTACCAACTGGACACGACTGGGCATTGCACAAACGGGTGCCTTTGGAGTCACCCATACATTCTTTTCCACCGTATTTGGGAGCGGGGCTGTTACACAGATGGTGTCTGCGCTGAAGTCCTCCACCGCACGTGACGGAGCAAGAGTCCCATGATGACCAGGGTCCCCAACCTCCATTCACTGAGACACCGAGAGAAATACAGGGTAATTTGGGTTTTCAGGTTATATTCTGCAAACACTTAAATAGTTGCAAACACTCACCGGGGCACGGGTCCTTCTGGCACGGCTCGGTCTGACGACCGTCTCCCTCGCAGTCTTTCCCGCCCATCTGAGGCGTAGGGGAGTTGCACAACCGGATGCGAGTGATGACGCCCTCGCCACACGTCACTGAGCAAGAAGACCAGGGAGACCAGTGGCTCCAGCCACCATCCTGCTTGACTGCATGAAAATAGAAATAAGCATTAAAGATGTGCATGGGGATCCAAATATGAAGCCAGCAGTGCATGTTGTTGAACTCACAGCGTTTATCGCATTCTTGCGTGTAACAGTCTCTCGTCTGGACAGACGTGCCGTCGCAGTTGCTATTGATTCGGTCGCAAGAGCGTCCGCGCTGCTGAATGCCTCTTCCACAGGTCACCGAACAGTGTGTCCATTCGGACCAGGGCGACCAGCCGTCCACACCCGCATCGTTCGCTTGAAGAACACAAGAGATAATATCTCTAAATGTGGCCAGAGATCAGATGAACGATGATCTACATAATGAATTCTGAAACCTGACTTACGTGTTTCACAGCGTGGGCAGCATTCACCGTCTGGGAGAGTAGCGTTGGCACAGGGCATGAGAGGACAGGAGATTTCACGGCACACAGTGGCGGAGTTCTGTGAATAAAATATTTGAAGCGAGTTTAATTGCACGATCCCGACAGCTGCACATAATGGATGGGAAATAAACGCCTCTCTGCTGGCAATAAAAAGTGACCCTTGGCTTTGGCAGGAAAATCTTGTGGTGATATAAACTCTGAGCGGGCAGCAGGGGAATACATCTGACCGGACTAACAAAGTGTTTTAATGTGGCCAGCATGAGGGTGAAGACATACTGAGTCAGCGGCCACAACCGCACACACAGTAACACACAAACACACACGCAGGTGCTGGTCTCACCGGAAACCAGAGACAGCGGGTATCACTCACCAATTAAAACATTCCTGAATCCCAGCCATTTAGATGCATGTGTGAGACAGAAACACAGAGGAAGACATTGCACCTTTTTCCCTTCCCCAACACCAAGACCAGGCTTTCCACCGGGGATTTTGACTAACTTAACCACCAGCTACCCACACTAAACAAATACTAACCAATATAAATTAATTGAAAATCACACTTTACATTAGTTGAACAGTAAGAAGACCCATACCTGACACGTGCAGTGGGTGCAGCTGTCCACCGTCCACTCGTCTTTGTCTCTGTAAACGATGCCGTTGTGCAGACAAACCCCTTCGTGGATTTTAATCTGAGTCATGATTAAGTTGTTGTCTGCTGTCTGAAAGCCAGAAGAAGAGCAGAGGAACTGTCATTAGAAACAACTTGAGGGAAGTGGCTGAGGAACAACGGCTTGGCATCTGAAGAGAAACAGGGTGGAGAGACACATGTATGTATGAACATCAGCTTGTTTTGATCCTCACCACTTGGCGGAGCTCGTTTGACAACTGCTTCACCACCATGCCGAGTCCCTTGAGCTCCTTAAACATGCTCGACAGATCGTCGCATGGGAATCCACAGATGTCCTGCAGATCTGAAGAGGAACAGGATTCTGACGTTAACTTCACGAGTCCATGATGAGACCCCAGACACATTACAAGCACATGAAGATCATCTGACCTTTAGACTTGTGTCCGGTGTAATCAGTGCGGATGGCGGGGCTGGATCCGTTCTCGGGGTTTTCCAAGGTCATGACATCAGTGATGAAGGTTGCTGTATTGACAACACAAGCTTTAATATAATATTTCTGTTTTTTATATAGAAATACATACTATATTTATTTAATTACACTTTATTTTTTCAGTATTTAGAATATAAAAAGTTAATTTTTTATACAACATAAGCTCTATTAAGCACTCACGGCTCTCGCATCCTTTATTGCGTAAAATCGCGTCCAGCGTCGTTCCAAAAACAAACCGCACGTTCTGGAGAACTCCCTTGAAAACGAGATAATGGTCAAAACCGAGACTGGCAGAACAAAACCCAACACAGTTCCAACGGCTACTGTTACATGGAACATTCAGACGGAGACTGTAAAAATAAAACACTTCGCGCGCACGAACCGCGTCTTTACGCGTTTCCAAACGTCTCGTTAAGAGGACGAAAATACGCATCAAATGATAATATAACACAACGGATAGCACGATAGTACCACAGATAACTAATATAATACCACAACAATCATGCAGCTCTGATACATCAAACATAAACAAAACCCAGATTCTTACCATGAAGCGATCGGATTTGGCGGCTCCTTTGGCGATCCTCAGGCTCGAGATGTCCGCGCTCTCCTGATTCAGGATCTGCTGGATCGGAGCATCGAGTTCTTGAGTGTTGATCTCCTCGCAGCCCACATGGACCTGAGCTCGATCCTCCTGCACAAACACCGTGATGTTCTTCCAGTGTCCGTTCGCCACGTCCACGTCCTCAATGGACACCACATGCTGCCCGCTCGCGGTCCAGTACACCAGATCCACGGTGTTGGCTTTCCCGTTGGAGATGATCTCAAAGACGGATCCGGTGCCGTCTGTCCTCTCCACGGAGACCAGGCTGCCTCTGGTGCGCTTGGCTTGCTTAAGGTTGGCGGTGAAGATGCAGCCTCTCTCGCTCTGAATGGAGTAGATCAGGTCCCTGAAGGAGAGCTCGGGCTCTGAGGGGATCAGGCTCGGGTTCAGGATCTTGTACGCGGGGCTGTTTGGATCGGGTCCCTTCTCTAAACTCACCCCATGATGCTTCTTATGAACATGAGTGAGCTCGAACAGGTCGAACACGGTGTCATCATCTGGCATTTCTGCGGGTTCGAATGCGAACGTGAGCACGCACGAATATACCAAACACATGAGAACGAACCAAAGCATAAATTTTCTCCTCACCTACGAGTCTGCTGCTCGCGGAACTCCACAACAAGAGGCACAAAACGAGTCCTCTCAGAGTCCTGATTCCCCCTGAAATCACATCACACATCTGTCTGTACGTGTGAAGAACCTTCTCGAAAGCACAGCGCTGAAAATACACACCTGAAGAGAGACGCTCTTATAATCAAGACGCTTTGCAGAAATTCCCTGGTATCTTTGACTCTGTGTGTGTTGGAGATGTTCTGCTCTTCTGCGCACACGAGACTCCAGCGCTATTTAAGTCATTTCATACATTCTTCAGCTGCTCTCTCGACCAATCGGCGTTCATGCTACTTAATGTTAATAGCATACAACGAAAATACTTAATAATAAGAACAATCACTAACACGCAATAAATAACAGTCATATCTATACACATTTTTCCCAGAACTATCTTACGACCCAGTAGCAATTCTTCCATGGCCCGGTAGTGGGTCGGGACCCATTGGTTGGGGACCTCTGGTATAAAGCATTATAGAAATAAAGGTGACTTGATTTGACAATCTGATGATTCACATTTATCTGGAACAATCTGCAAACATGAGAGCTCAGTAAATGCTTTTGTGTTGAATTATTTTGCTCGATCCTCCTGCACAAACACCGTGATGTTCTTCCAGTGTCCATTCGCCAAGTTCACGTCCTCAATGGACACCACATGCTGTCCGCTCGCGGTCCAGTACACAAGATCCACAGTGTTTGCTTTCCCGTTGGAGATGATCTCAAAGACGGATCCGGTGCCGTCTGTCCTCTCCACGGAGACCAGGCTGCCCCTGGTGCGCTTGGCTTGCTTGAGGTTGGCGGTGAAGATGAAGCCTCTCTCGCTCTGGATGGAGTAGATCAGGTCCCTGAAGGAGAGCTCGGGCACTGAGGGGATCAGGTTCGGGTTCAGGATCTTGTACGCGGGGCTATTTGGATCGGGTCCCTTCACTAAACTCACCCCGTGATGCTTCTTGTGGACATGAGTGAGCTCGAACAGGTCGAACACGGTGTCATCATCCGGCATTTCTGCGGGTTCGAATGCGAATGTAAGCGCGCACGAATATACCGAGCACATGAAAAACAACCAAAGCATAAAGTTTCTCCTCACCTACGCGTCTGCTGCTCGCGGAACTCCACAACAAGAGGCACACAACGAGTCCTCTCAGAGTCATGATTCCCCTGAAATCACATCACATCACATCACATCACATCACATCACACATCTGTCTGTACGTGTGAAGAACCTTCTCGAAAGCACAGCGCTGAAAATACACACCTGAAGAGAGACGCTCTTATAATCAAGACGCTTTGCAGAAATTCCCTGGTATCTTTGACTCTGTGTGTGTGTGTGTGTGTGTGTGTTGGAGATGTTCTGCTCTTCTGCGCACATGAGACTCCAGCGCTATTTAAGTCATTTCATACATTCTTCAGCTGCTCTCTCGACCAATCGGCGTTCAGCAGGACGCGCATATTCAACATCAGGAGAAAAAACTGCGCATTCCACAGCAAACTTTACATCAGCACACACACACACACACACACACATGCCAGAAATGACGAATGTCTACAGCCCTTGTACCATCATGCCATTTTTCTGGGCACTACATGATTCCCCTGAAATCACATCACATCACATCACATCACATCACATCACACATCTGTCTGTACGTGTGAAGAACCTTCTCGAAAGCACAGCGCTGAGAATAAACACTCACCTGAAGAGAGGCGCTCTTATAATCAAGACGCTTTGCAGAAATTCCCTGGTATCTTTGACTCTGTGTGTGTTGGAGATGTTCTGCTCTTCTGCGCACACGAGACTCCAGCGCTATTTAAGTCATTTCACACATTCTTCAGCTGCTCTCGACCAATCAGCGTTCAGCAGGACGCGCATATTCAACAGCAGGAGAAAAAACTGCGCGTTCCACAGCAAACTTTCCATCAACCCACACACACACACACACACACACACACACACACACACGCCAAAAAATGACCTATATATAAATATATATACACACTCTAAAAGAATGCTGGGTTGTTTCAACCCAACTTTGGGTCAAATATGGACTAACACATATTTTTACATTTAATTTAACCAATATTTTTAAATTATATTCTTAACCCAAAAGTTGGGCTACTCCATATTCTTAGAGTGTATATATATATATCTTGGAGTGTATATAGATATATCTTATATATCTTATCTTATACATACACTACAGTTCAAAAGTTTGGGGTTGATTTTCTCTTCTAGTGAAATATTGTTACAATTTAACATAACTGTTTTCTGTGTGAATATCTGTTAAACTGTAATGTATTTCTGTGATGCTCAGCTGTATTTTCAGCATCATTACTCCAGTCTTCAGTGTCACATGATCTTCAGAAATCATTAGAATATGCTGATTTTATTTCTGTGGAAACTGTGATACATATTATTTTTCAAGATTCTTTGATGAATAGAAAGTTCAAAAGAGCAGCATTTATTTGAAATAGAAATCTTTTGTAACATTACTGTCATTCATTTCTTACTAAATAAAGAAGGTCTTTCAGCTCATCCAGCAGGATTCTATTTGGTCTCTGAATCATTTGTTATGACAGAAATTGCATATATCATGCAATAGCATTCCATTAGGATTTAGTTTGAAAATGTTTGCATTTGGACATTATGGTATTTCCTGTTTATAACTGTGATGTGTTCCTCATATCAGTCAAATTGATCTATTCTTTTGAGACGAAGTGCATCATAAGAAGTCATGAAATTAAAATATGTTTGTTCTTTAAGATGATTTTTCTCTGGTGTGATGGTTCCTAATGCAGCCAGTGTGTGTGTGTGTGTGTGTGTGTGTGTTATGTAAACGACCAGGAAACATATCAAATATTATAGTGATGCAGTCATGGCTTATAAAACGAGCGGTGTGATAGCACAGGCCCGCTGACGCTCACATGTGGGCGGCACAGAGCAACACAGCCTTCTGAAGGCTGGACAGAACCGGCCTGATGTCAGTGTTTCCAGTTGATACGCAGAGATATGTGTGTCACTGAATGCCTGTTCAATATCACTCACTGGAGTTTAAAACAAACAGACGCTCAGCAGATGCATCTCTGCACTGCGTCTCCTGATCAAAAAAATCATAATATGACAGAAGTTCTTCAATGCATGTAATTCGTGTACTGCATTGATACAGACTCGTGCTGTGATATTTCATGATCTAATGACAGTCACACATTTATAAGATTGATTCTTGGAGCTCAGAATCATGGAATCTATCCTGAGAAACACTCTCAGCTTTATTTCTCATAGGAAATGAGCTCATGCTGATGAATTATAATTGTAATTGTGACAGAAGTAGGTCAGATGAAGGAAAGTGAACATACGGAGCTCCAGAAAACATCTGATCATTAGACATCTGCTGAGACGAAACCATCAAACGCTTCGTGTTCGGCCTGTGAAAGATGAAAAACATCCTCATGATGACTGTCAGATTAAAACTGCATCATCAGGTTCAACTCCACTGACAGTTACTGAAGGAAACATGAGTGTCGCTTACCTGTGGAAGAGTCTGCTCAGACTCTTCTGCTCAGTTGATTTATTCACCTGTTTTATCAGACACACTGAAAGGAATAGTTGAAACAAAAAAAAAGAAAATTAGCTGAAAGTTTACTCACCCTCAGGCCATCTGAGATGTAGATGAGTTTCTTCATCAGGTTTGGAGAAATGTAGCATTGCATCAGTGTCTCACTGCAAGTGAATGGGTGCCGTCAGAATGAGAGTCCAAACAGCTGATAAAAACATCACAATAATCCACAAGTAATCCACAGCACTCCAGTCCATCAGTTAACATCTGGAGAAGACAAAATCTGAAACAAATCCAGCATTAAGACGTTTTTAACTCAATTACATTGAGTCTATAGTCCATAATAACTCTTCCTCCGGTGAAAAAGTGTTCTGGTGTGAATCAGGAGAGAAATCTGCACAGATCAAGCAGCATTTAAACAGCTCTAATTTAAATAGCTCTAACAGCTCTACCCTATTCTGATGTGAGAGACAACAGGAGATGCAATTTTTCACTGGAGGAAGAGTTATTATGCATTATGGACTTTATGTATTTGAGTTAAAAACGTCTTAATGCTGGATTTGTTTCAGCTTTTGTCTTCTCCAGATGTTAACTGATGGACTGGAGTGCTGTGGATTACTTGTGGATTATTGTGATGTTTTTATCAGCTGTTTGGACTCTCATTCTGACGGCACCCATTCACTGCAGAGCATCCATTGCTGAGACACTGATGCAATGCTGCATTTCTCCAAACCTGATGAAGAAACTAACTCTGAGGGCGAGCACATTTTCATTTTTCAGTCCGTATCCAGATCAGATGGTGGATCAGCACCTGAAGCCAACCTCTACAGCCCTGAATATCAGCGGAGACCATGTCAACTAGATGAACCCTAGAGACAGAGCCCCTGTGAAGACCTCGTCGGCCATCGGCACAAGACCACGGGAACCAGACGAGTCCTCTTCTCAATCTGACTTGTGCTGCAGCCTGGAATTAAACCACGCCATGCTGGTTTGGTCTGGCCAGTGGAGAACTGGACCTCGACTGAGCCTGGTTCCTACCAAGGTTTTTTCTTCATTTCTGTCACCAATGGATTTTGGGTTCTTTGCCACTGTCGCCTTTAGCTTGCTTAGTTGGGGACGCTTAATTTCTGGCAATATTGTTGAATTGACTGCACAGACACTATTGGAAGAGAACTAACTGAGCTGGACGATGCATCACTGAATCAGCAATGAAGTGACTGTTTTCAATCGCCCTCTTGAATTATTATATTATATTATCAGCACACGTTTTCCTGTTTATCACTGTAAAGCTGCTTTGACACGATCTGTATTGTATAAAGCGCTATAGAAATAAAGGTGACTTGCCTTTTCGGTGAGCTATTCCTTGAAGTTTGATACTTAGTGTTAGAAGTTTGATCAGAGTTTTTATATCAGCACTAGCAAACATTTATACACTCATTCAGATCAATAATCTAATTAATAGTTCTAAATTCAGATTTCAACCCATCTATGATATATAACACCTTTAACACAGTTTTTAATTAATGTGTTTTCATAGTTACTAAGTGATGTGCATCTCTATATCTGTCAAGCAGGATTTATAGACTGCGTCACTGAAACTCTCACCTGGTTTCTTCACTCGCTCAGATCGGATGTGTGTGGACCTGAGGATGACGGTGGGATCTGTAGCCTTGGGCCTGGAACTTTCTAATAAACGATGAGTCAGTGGCATGGGCTCTGGTTTTAGCCACAGGCGCTGCTGTCAAGCTCCAACAAACACTGAGTTCCTCTGAATTCAGATCCCAGAGAAACTCAGCGTGTGTTTAATTCGACACTCAGACATCAGATCTGGATCCTTCCTCACATCGATGAATCGAGAGATTTGTCCTTTAGGAATTATGCCATCTCCTTAAATATCTCTTGGAACAGCTCCCCATTTCTTTGGAAGATATTCCATAACTAAATAAAGGCAGTTTAGATGATGTGATCTGACAAACACTGTCTGATTGATCCAAGCATGCAGTCGCTTTCATTCCTCCTGCTCATTCACTGATCTGAGCAGCTTTTAGTCAAACTCTCAAATTTCATTGATGGAAATGAAGATTTTGTGGGTTTCTGTGCATCTGAAATACATTAGATAACAAATGCTTGACATTTGCGTCAATTGATCCATCTGCACTCCAGGGTTATTATAGTTAACTAAAACTGAAACTAAAATAAAGACATTAAAAAACATTTTTGTTACTTGAAATAAAGTAAACGTTAACTGAAATAAAATTAAATATGAAAAACATTTGATTTGAGCTAGAGGCAACATTTCTCAGTTTTAGTTTAACTCGATGTACTAAAATAACTGAAACTAAAGCTAAAATAAAAAATAAAAGTTATATATATATATATATATATAAATTGATTCAAAATATTAATAAAAACTATAAAAGGCATATTTAAAAAACTAAAATTTAATAAAAAAAACAAAAACAAACATCAAATTTACAAAAACTAACTAAAAAAATATAAAAATAAAAACATTTAAAATAATAAAAACTATAACTGTATCTCATGATACTAAATAACACTGCTGTGTTCTGTGATCCTCTGATATATTTGGTCATATTTCACTGATTTGCACAGTACCTGTTCAGTCATGAAGACCATGTTAAAGTACAATAACTATTAAAAAAAAGTTTGCAATCCATTTTTCTTGTGTTATTTGGGTGTAACAGGATATTTGTTCTCCCGAACTGATCAAATGGTGAAAGTGTCTCTATATGAAAAAGGTTCATTAATAAAAGGTATTGATGACATCAGATGGAGCAAGTTATTACAATCTGATTAAGGATTATGAAGATGAACATTTATTTCTGTAGAATAATGTCACTAAACGGTAAATAGAATTCATTTTGATTTCATGCTGACTATGATATTTAACGGCACTCTTCATCTTGATCGTCTGTCTTAAATTCAAATCAAACTATGAGTTTAAGTCCTTTGTCAGGAATTCTCAGTCCAGCAGCAACTAACTCGTGCAGTTCCTAGCTTCACTTCAGGGAAGAGCTGACTCCGCGTCCTCAGGGCTCAGTCTGGACTCCTGCTCTCATCATGTATGAAGGAGCACATGTCTTCAGGTAACTCATACTCATGCTCATCTCTGACACACTGCTTGACCTTCCAGGAAAGAGAGCTTCAAAACCTGTGCAGATTACATAATGCTTGTGGATGACAAACGTGATACTCGGGGTTTATGTTGGGTGATGCTTTTCAAACAGCGCTCAGCGATCAGGATCGAAGCTGTCAGATGAACAACAGCAGCTGTGAGAGATGGAGATTAATGAGGCGAACAGATCAAGTCAAGTCAAGTATATTTGTGTAGCACAGCTTTACAAAAAATCATACTGTTATGATGATCAGTCTTCT